GGATCATTTGTTATAAAGACACAGAACTCTCTTAAAGCGTTTAAGGTTTTTGTCTGCAGCTTGATTTTAGGAGGAAAAATTCAAACAATTTGATAATTATATGTTCAGTGCTGGACTGGAGCCAGCATGCAATTAGGTTAGCTTAGCATAAGCGCAACATCGGACTGATAGTTTGCAGAGCATGCAGACACTGCTTGCGACATGTACAGGAGCATGAGGCAGCGAGAGCAGTTCATCTGCTAGTTTGACAATCTCTAATGGTGAGCCTACACAATTACAAATAATATTGAAGTAATGCTAGTGGAAAACACTTAGATGTACCTTGGTGACGTATACCCAGCTATAATAAGTCTATTTGTGGGAAACACAGTTGTGGATAAATTCTGTAAAGTCTCGTGCAAGAATCACATCCCTGAAGTGGGTGGTTTATAACGTTTGACTCCAATAGACAGCCAGGCTATCCCTTTTCCCTTTCTTCAGGTTTTAATGCTAAGATCACCTCCCAGTTTGAGCTCCATACTTGACAGAAATGTAATATTTAGATCGATTTAACTCTTGAAATGAGGTCCACTTTCCCCGAAATGTAAAATAGTCCTTCAGGACGGTCTCATCAGTGGAATAACAAACTTACAGAGTTATTTTCATGTATGTAGATGGAGTCTACATGTTGAAAAATTCAGAGCTTAAATTGACTTATAGTGAATATGTTTTACATTGGGACCATGGGTTCTTCACAATATGGACAAAAGAAACAAAAACAAATGTTGAAAGCTGAACCTAAATAAACTGAAGTGATTTGAAATGCTTCTGATATAATAACAGATTAAATGAACCACTGATGTCAACAGTAAGAGTTAAATAATATACAGCACTCCCTCACTTACTCTTTCCCCCTTTCCCTCCTCTTCTCTCCTCCCTCTCTCCCTCTAAGGCTCTCCTGTCTTTTCTCTCTGACAGTGAGCAGGTCCCTGCTGGCGCTCTGTGCTCTTTTACAATATTGTGGGAAAGGAGTGAGACAGACAGAAAGAGGGAGCGAGAGAGAGAGAGCAAGGGGGAGACTGCCAGGAACACTATACAATATCAAAGCGTCCAGTGAACAGCCAACAGGGCTTTGATAGTGGGCAGGGAGGGGTGTGGGTCAGAAAAACCTTAGGAAAAAAGCTGGGTGAACTCTTTAAAGAGGGAAGTGCGATCTATCGGGAACCCCACATTGAGGGGAGAGAGGGGTGCATGAAGCTTTGAGGTGGTGAGTGTTTTTTAGCTGGATGTCCTGCAGTCAAAAAAAAAACAAGAAAAAAATAATAATCGGGCCCTCCTCTCTGTGTCTGTCTGTCTCTCTTTTTCTCTTCCCCCCCTCTGGCTTTTCCACTTATCTTTAACAAACAGCAGCTCAGGCTCTCAGCCACTGGCCGACAGTTTGTCCCGACAACAAAAAACCATGGCAACAACCACTGGAAGAGCCCGTCCGGTTCCAAAGGTCCGCCCTTTCTGGCTCATGGAGCTAGCTCTGCTCTTGGAGCCTTTTGCAAATTTGGCTGAAATGGAAGATTGGAATCAATACGCAAATAAGCTCAAACTTGGTGATAGGGCACAGCCACATGCTTGATGGAGAGGCATATCAAGATCGTAGAGTCTGTTACGCCACCTTTGGCAGAGAAAGACGTCTGTAGCAAAAGAAGAATGTGATCTTATAAGAAGAGAAAGAGGAATTTGAAAAAAAAAAAAAAGAGTGAAAAGTGAAGGACAAAGGAGTGAGGCAGCAGTTTGTCAAGAGCCTATAGAGTCCTCTCCGGCCTGCCTTTGCTGACGATACTTACAACGCTTCTGCTGATGATACAACTCTGCTTACATCCTTCACTCCTCCCTCCCACTCCTACAAGCTGTTTTTAACACCACACAAGATACCTTATGTCAACTGAAATGTGTTCTGGATGCTGACAAAACACAATTCTGGCCGTTTATAAACTCACAAACGGGCCAAAAAGAAGATAAATGATATGAGAAATCACACTAGTATGGATGTATCTAAATAAGCTTTTTGGTATGCTAAACTAAACATGGTGAACATAGTGAACCATACATGTGTTTGACATTGCTGCGCATGTTAGCATGCTGCCATTAGCAATTAGCTCAAAGCACCACTGTGCCTCGAAGAGCCACGAGGATGGCAGCAGTCTTCTTTGACATTTCTGACATTGACATGTACAACAGTTTTGCCTTTATATGGCAGTGTGACAGCACTGAAGGGGGGGGGGGGGTTGTGAAGAAATGCAAATGAAACATTGTGGTTACATGTTCTGCATTGTTGAGTCCTCAGGTTAACTCATCATTGGAAGAGGGATGCTCGGGAGACACTGATGTCTCACACTTAAATATTTATTGACGCTCCATCAAGGAGAATTCTGATGTTAAACAGCAAATGATTCTCTGCATGAAGATTTTCCTCTCATGCTCAGACATCAACATTAAGAATGTGCAACGGGTAAAGTTTCCATCACTAGGCAACCCTATCTCCAATGACCTTGAGCCAGGATGTGTGGCTGACCATTTTCATCAGCAGTATTCTGTATGTGGCTCTGTTCAACATGCGACCGTAGTGTTCTACACCTCTCTGACCTTGGCTTCTTTGGAAACAGAGCTTCACTCCTCACTTTGATGACAGTTCAGGAAAAACACCAAGTTTTTTTTTAGATAAGGCTGTCCTTGCTACTGATTAGGATTTCAAGAAAACACTAGAGCTCTCTGGCCCTGTATCCACTCTTTGCTAAGCCTTGTCTTTGTGATGTTTTGTACCATCTGTCGACTCCTGACAGAGCTAGAAACTGAAAACTGTTGATGAAAATGGTCAAGACACATCTAGTCTCAAGGTCATTGGGGGTAGGGTTGCTTAGTGATGGAAACTATAGATTTAAGAGAGCCAAGGTTTGAGAGGTGCAGATGACTATACTGTGAGCTGTTGGCAAAATGATCAGCCAAACATTATGTTTAAGATGAACTTCTACACATACAGCAGACTGTTGAACCCCTTTCACATTTGTGTGTTAATGCAAACGACTGACTATGGCCACCTGACTTTATCTGGACTTTTTCCAGCCAGCCTCTAGTATAATTTCTGTGTCAAGTCCTGATGAGCCGATGTGTGAACGCAGATGTTAATCGTGAAAACCATTCACCCGAGCGAGTAGGCGCAGTGATGATGTCATTCATGTTGAGCCAAGTTTTGCTGCACTATACTCTTTACAGCTCGCCTCAGTTGTTAGTGAATCGTTTTCCACTGATGAATTTGTGTTGAGGAAACATACTCATACATGACGTTGTGATATTAACATAAAAACATTCGCCATGACTCCCCCCCAAGCCTAAAACCCAGCCGCCCTCTCACCTAACAGAGTATTCCCAGTTTTTAAAGAGTGTCTGAAAGATAATCTCCAACTATGCGGTGCATCTGTGAAAGTAAATTCACAGAAAATATCAGGGCCTGATTGTTCTGAAATTTACTGTAACATTTCTGGAGCTCATGTATTAAAGGGGTTTAAAAGAAATAACTAAGCATGAAAGGAAAATCTTCAGAATTTAATTGTTCTTATCTGACATGTAAATTCATCTTGATCAAGTTTCAATAAATATTTTAGACGTAAGACGTCAGCGTCTTTAGTTAACCTGGGTTTAAGAAACTCCAAAACAGCTACTGAAATTTGCAGTTCACCACCCTGACCTTACCCAGCACTACTGAAGCCAGGGTCACAGAGGGTCAGTGCACTTCAAAATCCTCAGTATGAGTCTCAGACTTACTGTGCACCAGGACAATTTTGATTTGATTCCCTGAGTTTTTCTTTCAATCTTTAAATGTTGACTTGGGAGTTCACTAGAAGATGATGTGCATCCCACTTAAATGAACAGTGAAAGATAAAGTTCGACAAAAATAAACCTCTGCAGGAGGCTCACTGTGATGTATTGCCTATCTCAAGCGACTTTCAAATTTGATTTTGTCGCTGTTGAAACTGAAAGGGAAAAATGGCAGCGTGGAAAGCAGGAAAAGCTTTTGCTTAAGGAGCAAGCAGACTAAAACAATTTTCCCCTTTGCCGAGGCAGAATGATTGCTGCTATCTCCTATTACCATGCCAGCACTTGATTAAGTCGTTTTATAACCACATGCATCACCTCATTCTCGTCATAGCCGCTGTAGCACTGAGCTGTATAACTGACTGAACCTTTGTCTCTCATCAGTGTCACCTTCTGTGCTCCAGCTGACAGCCACCCCGTCCACCACTCAACTTAGTATGTAAGTCCAATCTGGGTCGACTAATTCTGTTTTCTTACATTTCTAAAAATAAGTAGGTGGAAAAAGACTGTTTGCAGTCCCAGGATTTGTTTTTGTTAACTGTCCCTGAGGTCAGAGCTGAACGAGGCAGAAGTGCCTTTATGTGCTCGGCTCCCTCTTCATGGAAGTGGCGGCAAAGGGATTTTAAGCTGAAGGCTCTCTTGGTGAGTTTCTGTGGTTAATGAAGGTTCTTGTGGCAGACTCAATAAGGAGCTGTCTTTGCTTTGTTGAGGCGAGATTTAAATAGGTTTGGCAAGCAGCCTGCTGGTTTGACGCTGAAGTGTTGCTTATTGGAGTGCTTATAAAGCAGAACCTCGTCTTTTGATTTTTGTTTTCGCTTTTGTGTGTTTTTCCTCTGTCTGAGGCTTTAATGTTTGTCTGGATGCTGCGTCTTGGCCGGCCTCCCTTGATGGAGGAGATTTGTAATCTGTGGGGCTGCCCGGTTTAAATAAAAGTTAAATAACATTTGGATAGCGGCTCGTCTTAAACGACTTTGCTTTCCAGCCTCTCCACAACTGGTTGGATTCATCCAAGCCCCGAAACGCCGTCGGCCTCGCATTGAGCGGATGCAGAGAATAGCAGCTAACAAGGAAAAAGATGACCGCGAGTGCAAATGACAGGAGTGGACAAGAAAGAAAGAGTGAGGGGGAGTAAAAGAGAGAGGGTAGTTATATCCTACGGTCATTAGCAGCATTTCAAAGTCACCCCGTCTTTCGGCGTATGCTGTTTGACAGGCCCTGCCAACAGAATTAGGGTTGAGGGATGATGGTGCCGTGATTAGATGTGTAACTCAGGGGAAAGACAGGACCTGATCCATGGTTACAGTACACTCACACTCACACTCACATTCATAAGTGCAGTAGAAAGCAGAGGATAATGTAGAAAAAGAACGGGGATAAGAGATAACCCCGGTCTTAAGATGTGGTCAGTCATTGATTAGATAGCTCTGAAACTCTCTATTTCAGTGGAACAGGCCGGATGCTGGTCGGCCTGATAAACACTACAGGCTCCCCCGACTCCCCCTACGAGTGAATTGAATTCCCAAATTACCAGGCTTAAGATAACATACCTGGCTAAATTGCCGCTCTTTATAAGTCTCAAATCTCCTTGTAGATATTAATCAAAGGCCGTTTCACTCCTGATGCAACGAACACAGGAGATGGGGAACAGGAGAACAACACACAATGTGGTTCGTATTAAGGCCTCTGATCTTCTATCTCGAGTCCCTCGTTTTTCCGCCACATTCCTTTAGCCAGGGGTGATGTGAGGGGGAGGAGGGGGAGGAGGGGCTGGCATCGCCTCTGCCAGCACTAAATATGTGGTAAGGGCTTCCTTGTTAGGCTTGAGATTTCTAGGGGAAAGTCAAGGGCAACTGATACTTTATCTGCCCCGACGTCTTCAGCCCATTACTACAGCATAACCATGCTTGAGCTTCAATGCAACACTTGAATATCCTTTTAGCTTGAAGAGGTTTCTTCAAACCTCTTGTTGTGTACTCAAGAGTTCATCTTACGGCTTCTTTTCTCATTCCTGCCTGACACTGACTCCGCAGCAAAGTCTGAAGTTTCCATCTGCTCTGTGCCAAATGAATGCCAGCGATAGTACTGCTTGTTGGATAAACTGAGAAGGGTCCATCTGTTGGCTACAGACTAACTCAAAGGCACGCCCACTCCAACATTCACCCTACACACCATGCCCACTCAAAGACATGATCATGTTTACCTAAGAAGGCGTTGCCAACAAAAGGGGCTACATGGTGGTGTGTGTGCTACCTCAGGTATTGCTGAGACAAGGAAATACAATCAAGGGGAATTAGAGCCATAAACTATCAGATACTAAAACGTCTGATTGGTACCTCAGTACTATAGACCATATTCAGATAGCGGCCATGTTTTTCTGATGTAATGCTCAGGGTTGGAAGCCCAAATATTGTCTTCATGTCTACAGGTGTGTTCCAGGTTGTACACAATCGATAAGAAACTTAAATCCAGTGAGACATTGAACCACATTTCACATTAAAAAACCCATTTTATAATCCTTTAGCTAACGATAGCAGAAAGTTAGAATTCAGCCACTTCGAAGCTAACATACGGAACAGGTGTGTTGTAATGCTACTTATATTGACAGTCATCTTGATCACATTCATCTGAGATTAAACTTAATGGATGTATATAAGCCAACAATGTAACGTTAGCTGTGTAGCTCTACCATCAAGCCCTACTTTTACTTTCTCGTTACCATATAGGGCTGTGCAGTGACACATACAGAGTTTTCAACTTGAAGCTAATGATTGTTGTATGCTACTATATTCAGTCATCTTGAACATCAAATTAAACTTAATGGATGTATTTTAAGCCAACAATGTAACGTTAGCTGTGTAGCTCTACCATCAAGCCCTACTTTTACTTTCTCGTTACCATATAGGGCTGTGCAGTGACACATTACAGGAGTTTTCTAACGGTTGAGCCAGCTAATTGATTATTGTATTAGCTGACTATACTTCAGTCACTCAAACATCAATGTTTGTTATTTTTACTTGATGTTAGCTTGCCAAAAATACGGTGTTAACAGCCACTGGTGGTTTATGGATATAGGCCTAAATCAAGTTTCTTTATGCTCTTAAGGACTCAGCATATGTATCAGCACATTAGTTGATATATTTGAAGAAAGTGCTTGTACAAAAGTAAGTTTTCTTGTTCATTTAGCCATTTTCCTTAAGACTTCACCAGACTCTGTTCAAACATCACACCCTGAGCGTGATGTCACCGGAAAATGGCTGCTAGTGAACAAGGTCAATGAAGCAGGACTAAACTGAATTTTAGCGGATTAAATCTTTTGTCATGCCAATCATGAGGTAACGAAATTAGAAAAGCTTAAAATAAACAAGCAGCTTTGCATTCATGAATAGTTCACTGACAACATCTTTTATCAATCTCACTCTGAACCCAACAGGTCGCTGTAGATGCCTGAAGCCCTTTGAGTTCTGTTCAGCTCAAGGTTTCTGCCAGTTGTTGTTAAGTGTTTGCATTTGGATTTAGTTGGCTTTCAGAAAATAATACTACAGAGAGAAAGGTCTTGACCTCCTCGATGCGTAAAGTGTCCTGAGATGGCTTTCTCTGTGATTTGTTGCTGTTCAAATAAATATGGATAAATCGATTGATTGATATAAGCCCTGTGTTACGAACATGCATGGGACCGCATCATGGGGGACATGTTGTTTCGTGATTTTGAGTAGGAGCAATAAATCCAGGGGGTTAAAGGCTTAATAGATGTCAAACAAGGTGAGGAACGTGTGTCCAAAGATATTTTAAAAAACAACAGGAGAGCCTTGCCTGTTTTGTACTCGTGTGTGTATATGTACTGTATATATATATATATATATACATACATCGGATGGTGCAAGAAAATTGAGCAGAAGAATATTAAATAGACAGATTTCATAAAACATTTACACACAATATCTTTTTCATTATGTGCAAAAACAAAAAGAAGGCATCTTCACGAGCATACAAATCTACTCACTGGTTCAGAGATGGATTCAATTTGCGATACAGAATTTGACTCATGGCCTGATCAGAAATAATTCAAAATTCCAAACTGGGCTTTTTGCCTGCTTACTTAATTCCATTTTGGGTTTAATCAGGTTTTACATGAATACTTTCTTCATTATTCACTTAAAAGGGCTTGAAGCAAGTTCTGAAACACATAACTGGAAAAAAAGAACAGATGTAACGACCACATTAAACATTACTGCAGGTCCATTTTTTTCATGAAACAGGCCATAGTGAGAAAGTAAAAAGTTCAAATCAGTCACTTCTCCCGAGGAAAAACTGAACCAAAGCATGAAGACGAACCTAGACAGGCAAATAAAAACTAAGTCCTCCTGTGTTTCCACCATAATCATGTTCTTGTCCGGGTGCAAAAGCCTGTGAAAGCGAATCAGACGCTGCAGCCCTCCAGTGGAACCCATACAAATGAAATATATTTTTAGGTGTGCTGGAAGCGACTCAAATACAAAAAAACAAAAAAAAGTGCCTTTATATACGAGAGCTGCTTTCTAGAGCCTCCAGACTGCAAGGACATGCATTCACAGAGGGAGAAATCCATCACAGAGCTAGGCATACTTCACAGAATTTCCGGTGACAGCTTTCGTGGTAGAGCGTAATGCAATGCAAGCACAAACCCCGATCAGTTTAAAGTGGGAAACTGGCTGTTTCTAGACTGGAAAAGGATTGCTGTGTTCACTCTCTGTACTGACATCTGTACACCAGCAGCTGAAAATCAACAAGTTGAGGCACATTCTCAGGTTGGGGGGGAGAGAGTGGGGAGCTGGGATGTCAAAGGGGCATTCTGGGAAATGTAGGATGACAAGAGTGTGTGAGGGGAAATTGATACAACAAGAAGGAAAAATGACAACAGCTTATTCACAAAACAACAGAATGCGTTGGACATCCCGGCCTGATGATTTACTAAAGCGTAGGAGAAGATGGAATTTTAATCTGAGGCAGGGCGTTCCACTCTTTCACCAAATGGCAAGGGAAACTCCAGCATTCACACTCGCACAAACTCATACACTTGCATTTCTGCACAGATAAACACGTAAGACCAAAAACAAAAAAGGAGTCGGCAGAACCATGCACATTTGGATGCATTTTCCCACACACGCACTTGTTCTCTTTTTCTCTCTCCTTCTTCTCCTTTTTGCTATTTTACAGCGGTTTCCTGTGCACGCCGTCTACCTCTCATGCCACATTCAGAGCATGAACACCCAGAGTCAGCAAGTCTGGACACAGCTGCTGAATATTCAGCCCTGCGCTCCCTCTTCCTCTCCCTTCCTCTCAGCATCTCTGTCTTCTTCTCCCACCTTAAACTCTCCTTCTTTTTCCTCCCTTTTGCTCCAATGTCGTTCTCATTCTAGCTGAAATGTTTTCCTTGCATTCCTCTGTAGCTCTGTGTGCCGCCGCTGCTCCTGCTCTCTGCGCTCCACTTTCATTAAGGGGCTCTCCTCTGATAGCCCTTCATATAACACTTAATCATCATAACAATAAGAGCACTCTCTCTCTCAGACGAATCACCTCGAGGGGCCGGTCCTAAAGATCCACCGCTAACTGATGTCATTAGCTGCCGCATCTCCTGATTGGACGGAGCGGCGCAGGAGAGCCCGCCCCAGGTGTTTGACGGAGGGCTCAGTGGGAGCACACAGGTCGGACAGGCCAAGGACATTCCTCTTATGGAGAAGAGCGGAGAAAACACACACACACACACGCGCGCGCGCGCTGGTGTGTATGCAGGCACAAAGGCTCTTAGTGGGAAGCAGAAGACAAGGCGTGTTTGGTTTTACAGTCAAGAGAGAGATGAATAAGACTATTGAATAAGGGGGAGGGAGGTTTGAATAACAGTATTTTACATGAATGGATCCTCAGGGAAATGACTGCTCCGTCGCTCCCTCTGCTCTTTATTTTCAGCTTTGTGTGTGAGCGTGTGTGTGTGTGCGTAGGGGGTGGTGGAGGTGGGGGGGGGGTGCATTTTGGCTGATTGAGTCTACGAGTCTATCATGCTGTGGAATTGACAGTGTGCCATATTATGCTGTTGTGGGTGTTTGCATAGATGAGCAGTGACGGCGGCGGCTTCACGCGGACACGAACGCACACAGACAAAACTGCCACACACACACACACACACACACACACACACACACACACACTGAAATCACAGCTGTTCTCAGTTGCTATGCGGC